ACAATTTTGGCTAAATTAGAAATATTTTCTCTTTTGAATTTCTAAATTTTTCTCCATTTGAGCTTATTTAAAATTTTTTTCTTTATTATTATTTTTTTGGATTTTTAAATTTTCCATCATTTGGGTCAATTTATAAATATTTTCTTTTTCGAAATTTCTTTTTTTCTTCTTTTTTTTTAGTTTTTGGAAAGAAAATAATATGATAATTATTTTTTATTGAAATTTCATTTAAATTCTTCTACCATTTGGGGCAAATTTAAAGAAATTTCTCACCTAGAGATTTCCTAGAAAATTTACCATTTGAAATATCTAAAAATCTTATCATTAGATAATTGCCAAATATTTTCAACTAAAATTTTTTATTTTTTATTTTTTGGTTTGAAAATAAATATTAATTATTGTTATTAAAATTTTATCTAAATTATTCCATAATTTGTGACAAATTAGGAAAAAGTTCCTCACTTAAAAATTTTAAAGAAATTTACCATTTGAAATTTTTATAAATTTCATCATTGGATAATTAATATTTATTCCCAAAATTTATTTTTTTCATTTTTTATTTTTTTTCTAAATTTAATTATACAAAAAACTTACAAGAATATATAATAAATAAAATAAAATAAAATAACAAATGGCTCGACTGGCGGTGGGAATTCGGCTCAGCTACAAGCACAAACAATGGCTTAAAATGCGACTCGGGGGAAATCGACCTAGCTTAGCTCAGCTCAACTTAGTAGCAGGGTCTACGGAGCGAGTTGAAGTGGGTCAACACTACAGGCTAGGTCATTTGAATGGAAACGCACGGATCCTGATAGATCTCTTAATGCCAAAATGATGTCGTTTTGACATGGTATATAAGGTTAGATTTTGACTTTTTCCTTAGATTTCTCTTTCCCTTTCTCTCTTTTCTCCCTTCTTTTTCTCTCTTTATCTCTAGAACCAGATGAACTCTAGTTGAATCCTTCATCAAATTTTCAAATTTTCGTTAAAATCTAGGTTGGTTCATTGAAAGGTCACTGAAAAATTCAATCAATGCCAGTATTTTCCACCAGATTCTAGGAAACCTACTAAAAAATTTAACGGGTACCAAAAAACTCATCAAAAAATTCAACCGATACCAAAAAATTCATCGAAAACTGAAAATTCTTGCCAAAATTTGAGAATTTTTCAGAAAAATTCTTTTTTTCCCCTAAACCCCAAAAAATCTTTGAAAACTTTTTCTGATTGCTTTCTGCTTGTGATTTTTTTTATTTTTGTTTCTACGTTACTTTTTTCTGTGTGTGTATGGGTATGTATTTATAGAGTTCTGATAAAAGAATTCTAATCCAAAAAGGAATTCGAATTTCCTTTGAATTCTAACCTTAAACTTAGTTCTAACCCTACAACCTCATTCCAAGAATTTTACACAAACTTAATTTCATGTCTTTTTCGTTTCTTCTAGCTTTTTAATTTTTAATTTTTAATTTTTTTATTAACAAAAATCAAACGTAAACCTTCAGACAGATTGAGGTGTCTACAGTTGCCCATCTTTTCACATTTTATATGAAACAAGAATTGTGTGAAGACATAAACAACCCAATCAACTCGACACATTTTTTTTTGTTACTCAGACTCATTGAATAACAGAAAAACTCCTCTAAACAGAGGCTCCACTACTTTAAAAAAATAAATAAGCTCCTCTGAATAGAAGCTCAATAACTTTGAAATAAAAGGCTCCTTTAAATAGAAGCACAACAACTTTTGAAAAATGAAAAACTCCTCTAAATAGAAGCACCACAACTTTGAAAAAATAAATGCTTCTCTAAATAGAGGTACCACAACTTTTGAAAAATAAAATGCTCCTCTAAACAGAGGTACCACAACTTCGAAAAAATAAATGCTCCTCTAAATAGAGGCACCACAATTTTGAAAAAATAAATGCTCTTCTAAATAGAGGTACCACAACTTTTGAAAAATAAAATACTCCTCTAAACAGGGGCACCACAACTTTGAAAAAATAAATGCTTCTCTAAATAAAGGCATCACAACTTTTGAAAAATAAAATGCTCTTCTAAACAGAGGCACCATAAATTTAAAAAAAATAAATGCTCTTTGACAATCATGTCCTAAGGAATTATAAATCAGGTCTGATGAAATTTGTAATGAAAACTCAAATATTCACAATTTGAGTTTGAAATTCAAAGGTGCAGATTCACAAGAACATTTCAGCTTTGCAAGAATTCATTGAAATTTGATTATCAAAATTTCAGTTTCACAAGAAATCAAATTTGCAAAATCTTAAGATTCACATTTGTGAATTGCAAGACTCGTATCCAGCATTTAAAGATTCTCATTCGAATTTTGGAAATTCGTATCCAAAAGTTCAAAGTTTCTCATTTGAGTTCAAAAGTTCACATTTGACAAATGTCAAAGTTTCACATCTCAAAGATTATCATTTAAAATTTAAAGATTCTTATCTGAAAACTCAAAGATTCTCATTTAAGGATTTTTTGGTGATTTTCATTTGAGGATTCACAATTTTGTATTAAAATACTTCATCAAAATATTCAAAATTCTTTTCTAGATGACTTTCAAATTTTATCAAAATCAAAATTTAGTATGTAATGAATGTCATGATTAATGATGCAAATACAACAATCTAGATTCTCACAATGTCATATTCTCAACCATGATTCAAATGTTTACTGCATAATTTAGGTGCATGGCCAGACCAAAGTTTTAAATATTCTTCAAACAACAATGCAAATGTAATGCTTGTAATGCAAATGTCAATGTCACGAAATTCTAATTAAATGTGGTAACATGGATCTCGACTCCACCATCCTATATTTTCTCTTTCAGCTACTCAACATGAGCTATTCTATCAACTGATCCTCATCATTTTCATCACTTGATCATCATTCATAGGTTTTTTAGCACTAATAATTTCAGAACAAGTTTCTATCTTCTATCACTTAGTCACCACTCATAGGCTTTTCAGCACTTGCCACTTCAGAATAATTTCATCTATTAATCCATATTATTTCCATCATTTAATGATAACTAACAAGCTTTTTAGCACTAACCATTTCATCAACTGATCCATAATCTTTTCTATCATTTAACTCATAAATTCATCAGCACTAACAGAATAAATTTCATCTTTTGATCCACACTATTTTCATCATTTGACTACAACTCATAAGTTATGTCAACCATCTATCACCGTATTCATTTTTTGATCATATCATCTTTTTTAGATTTTTGCCCTCTTTTCATTTTATTGAGCAATCCATCACCATATTCATCATCTTATGTCCTTGCAAATTAACTTTTCAAGTTTCTACCAACTCTTTATTTTTTTACCCCTATCTTCCTAGATTTTTTTTTCAAAAGAATACATAAATCTTTCACGATCATTATCATTCATTCATCATCATTTCAATTCTTAACAAACACAATGCAATTATACATTTTCTCAATTCATTCTAGGGATGTGAGAATAAAAAAACACAAGGTGAATTGGAAGAAAGGCAATTAATAATGAGTGAGTCTAGTACAAAAATAAATGAAAAAAGAAACAAGTTGGATGCATGTCATTGGGATGAATGGTATATCCAAATAATGAATATTCAGATAATTCTAAACATTAATCCATGATTCTTTTTCAAAAACTCATTCCATTGACTGTCGAAATCATTTTGAGGTAATCAAACTTTGCTGCAACTTTGAAATATCTTCAGATATCTTTGATTTTTTATATACTTGAACTGTTCATCTAACTTTCAGTTCAAAGATTTGTCTACCCAAATCGTCCTTTCGAATTTTTAATTTAAGTTTTTATTTTATCTCTTTTTCATATTTTTTCCAGTCTTTTTTTTCAAATTTTTTTTTATTTTTCCTCTTTTTTCCATTTTTTATTTTTCATTATTTTTCATTCCTTTTTTTCTCCTGTTTTCATCCTCTTCTTTTTTTTTATCTTTTTATTTTTTTCATCTATTTGTGATATCTCTCACCCATCAATCTCTAAAGCAATGTAGCAAGATCCTATTGTTTCATCACGAGCATGCCTTAACCCAACATATGATCATTCAATCGAGTACTCACATTTGATCTAAATAGATTTTTAAAAGTTGTAATGTAGGCTATGGTGAGGGGTCATGAAAGAAATAGGTAAAATAAGCTCAAAACATGTGTTTAAAGAGTTCAAAACTAAAGGATCATTCATCATTTGATGCAACTTGGCATTTTGTCCCATTCCACATCATTTCACTATTATTTCTTTTTCATCCATCTCATTCCTCACAAAATGATTCTCATTACTTTGGCCCAATTCATTTGTGGCATTCATTTTTCTTTCTTTTTTTTTTTGCTTTTTATCTTTAAGACTTTTTTATGATCTTTTGCCTCTCTTCTCTTTTCAAAAACTACCCCTCATTATGGAAGGTGATCCTTGGTTAGGGTTCTTTAGAAAAAGAAATCATAATAAGTTCAAAGGGGTAGCAATGAATGGTTTTTCAAATGGTAAAAGAAAGATGGTCATTTTTCATCTCAGATATGAATGCTTTCTTTGAAAATCATTTATTAAACAAAAACAAGCTCATGGATCTTATAAATGATTGCACATCTTTAAGAAATATTTATTTCGTATCTACCAATAGCTTATTTCTTTTGCTCAAATAATCTCCTTAGATCAATGTGAATGAGTTCTTAAAATTAAATCCCAAAATTATTATTATCATCATTTAAACATTCGTCATTTGAAATTTGAGAATGAGAATAAAAAGACATGAAATAAAATATGAAATAATGACTGGATGAAAGAAAAATATAATAAAATACATTATCTTATCTTTTATTAAAATGATAACAAATAAAATCTTATTACATAAAAAAAATCTTAACATTACTTTAAAAAAAATTTTAAAATAATAAACAACTTCCAATCCGCCTTAACATCATTCTAAAAAATTATGCCCCTGAATCAAGACTCAACGTTCTTTTATCAACGCCTTATGATGGCCTCAAGTTCTTTAACGTGTCTGACACATCTTTGGGCGTTGAATTGACATTGGTACGTCTCGATTTTCCACCAAAAGGGCGTCATCAATATCTCAAAATTCTTGATTCACGCAATGGTTTGGCAGCTGTAGCCCTGAATGACAAACGTTTCTCTATTTGGAATCCATCAACTGCAGACTAAAAGGAGCTGCCAGAACCTTGTCTTTCAGGCCGATACCTATTGACGTTTTGTTGGTTTTGGGTACGACTCATCCTCTAACGATTACAAATTATTTTTTCGACTTTCACCGACGAGCTGAAATTTTTTTCACTGAGAAAAAACTCATGGAGAATAATTGAAAAGCTTCCTGAAAGGCTTGATATTTTTTACACTAAAGGGTCTTGTGCTTTTATCAATGGAGCTTTCCATTGGCCATTTGATCGGAGTGATATGCTATTTAGTCCAGAATCTCATGAAATCACTACTTTTGATTTAAACAGAAGATATTCAATAGTCTGCCAATACCCCATGCTCTGCTACCACCACTATTAGCTTGGGGGTTCTTGAAGATAAACTTTGCATTAATTATTCTAACACTATTTTGCCTGCTTTTGAATTGTGGGTATATGGAGTCTTGGACTAAATTCAGTAAATTGTTTAGGATAAATTATCTTTATTACCTTGGGTCCCTGTACATTTTGGAAACATCTGTTCTACATATAAAGGAATGTTTCAAGAAACTGATGAGGAATGATGCGAATAAGACGACCTCAAAAGATTTCAGGTTTATAAGAACCGGCAATGGCCATGTGAAGCTATTGCTTACACGGAGAATCTGCTTTGACCTAATTTTTATTGTAGCTTTTCTGTCTGATGAGATGCACTGTGGCGACATAGTTAAGTGGTAGGAAGAGGAAGAATATATGTTACTCTTTTAGCACTATCTGAGTTGGTTCTTTTGTTTCTTTGTCCTTTCTGTTAGGTAAATGTAACTTTATTAACCAGAAATTTGCTTAACTAGATTTTTATTGCTAAGCTCGGAATACGTGCAAATCCATGCTTTGCAAACTCATAAGTTGGCTATGGTGAAGAAGCCATGATCTACTGTAAATGCCTACAACTCAGGCATGTAGTAACTTTAAGAAATATTGAGGAAAAGCTGCAATTAGTAATGAGGTTCTCTTAAAAACCTAAGTGATGCACTAGTCACTGAATTTTTTAGATAAGTAAAACTTTGCCTACAGAAAAACACAGAGGTTGAAAGCAGCCAGTATTTATCCTTCTCTCCATAAGTCTGTCAAAGGCGGAAACAGGTTCCAACCAAAGGATTAATAGAAGAGAGTATCAGCTAAAATGACTTGCATAAAATCATAATGAAAAGGAGACTGTAAGGCTAAATTATAATTATATCTTAATGACGGATACCAAACCGGGAAGGTCTAGCATTCAAATCCTTAAACTTCCTGTCCAAACAAAATAAAAACGAAATTGAACAGTACAATTTGTATTTTATTATCATTTTCTGCATCATGTGTCAACCATATGAACTCAGCATTTCCACAACATGTGTAGCAACAGGGACACATTAAGGACAAGAAGATGAAATATGTATTCTATGGAACAGAGCTCACAAATAAGTAAAAGTACAATAAGTTGCATGAATTTAAAAGTACAGAACATAATAGGAAAAGATTCAACAAGCTTATCATCTTTAGTGTATCACCTGTATTCCACTCCTACAGTAGCCATTGGGTGACACAAGGCTTTCCAAGTACGTATCTGCTTCAAAACCGTCCCCCTCAGGAATGCCATGAACTACTAAGTACCTATAACTGTCATCTCCCAAGTTGTACAACAACAGTTTTCCATCAACCTCCAGCAGCGCTTCTCCATTCTGTGCCAAACACAATGGCTTCATGCATATGTATGCGATACTGAGGGTCAATTTAGTCCATGATTCACCCACACCATACTTGGTCATCACCCAAAAGTCATCATGCAGCTGATTGCGGCTATGAAGCATACAGAGGCATCCATTAAGAACCCCCACCACAAATTCAAAGCTAGTATCAACAAAGTCAGGAGCTGGCATATCCGAAAATACCTCTTCTTCTAAACTAAAAGCAGCAACCACACACTCATAATCCGCCCCATCTCCACGACTGGCCATCCAGTGAATAGCCCCATTCATAAGCACTCCAGATTCATACACATTATCATCAAATGGGAAACTCCCAACCTTCCTCCATGAATCAGTTCTTAATGAATAAACACACACAGGTCCACACCCTAGTTTCACCACCTTATAATCATCATTAACAAAATCAAAACCAAAGCCATAAACACTTAAACCATTAGGAGCAAAACCGGCAGGCAGGTCTGGGATTCTCTTCGATTCTCTAGTGGAAGGATTAAACAAAAAAAGGGTATCTTCATCTGGGGCAATACAAACCAACCCATTACAAGAACCCAATATATCAACCCAATTCCTTGGATTCACACAACATGGCAAATTTAGCTTCACCATTACAGGAAATTCATCATCTTCACTTCTTTCACAATACAAATAACCATCTTTAGTAGAATCTAACAGCTCAGTCAATCCATTTGGCTGGTCTTTCAAAGGATAATCAAGCTCTGAAGCTACCAAATTTTCACTAAAGCTACCATCTTTACCAATTGATTCATATTCAAGAGAGTATAAATTATGCGAGGAAATGATTACTCTTTTTCTCTGAGAATAAAAGTAATCATTTTTAATGGTTTGTTTGAGGTGGGCTTTGGCTAACAGGGGATCTGATATAAGAGAAAGCCAAAGTTTGGAAACACACCTGAACTGGAAAAGAGATTTTATGGGTAATCTTGAAAGGATTTCCGCTATGATTTCTTCGGGAAGAATCGGAATTTCAGCTTCTTCTTCTTCAGCTGGTGGTATCTGCTGCACTATTCTTTCTTTTTTCATATCTCTTTTCGAAAGAAACAATTTTGATGGAAATATTGAAAACCCAAAAGGGAAAAAGATTCAAAAAGACAGATGAAATGAATAATAAGAGAAGAAACGAGGAGAGCAGTTGGATTTTAGCCGCCTTCTTTCTTGCAAAATTTTGAGTCAACTTGACATCCGATCGAGTTAACTCACCCCAGCCCCACCTTTTTATTTGTTTTTATTATTTTGATGAGAGGCCCCTGTCCCTCGTAATGAAATTGTTAAATTTGTCTTTACAACTCACACGTATAATCATTTTTCAATTTTGTCCCTCTTTTATTTCACATGTTAAAACCTATTCTTGTAAGATTAAAGTTTTTCATTCTGTTCCATTTAACCCAATTCAATTTTTTTTCCAGTTTGTTCTTTCATTTCTTAATTCTTAATAAATTAATTAAAATTACCCAATATACTTCACTGGGAAAATTTTGACTTTTTGATAAAAATTTAATCATTAAAATAATTTTATTATATATAACTTCAAAATCCTATCATAATTTTTTTCACCATTAATATTTATTTTTGGGATAATATTATAAATTATTTCTCAATTATAATAAAAAATTTAATATGATACTTAAATTTTAAAAATTTTAATATAATATATGATTTATAGATTTATTAATTAATATAATATTTAAAAAATTATTTATACATTATATATTATCGTTTAAAATTAATTATATTAATAAGAATAAATATCATATTATATAATAAATTTATAATTTAAATATTACATTAAATATTTTTAAATTTAAATATTATATTAAATATTTTATTATAATTTAAAACGCATTAATAACATTAACTCTTTTTCTTCCTTCTTCGATTAAAATTTTCCTTCAAATAATATATCATGGTTAATGTCAGAAATTAAATTACTAAATCAACTGTATTTTACATGAAAATTAATCAATCAAAATGACTTAAGGTGCCTTTGGATTTCACTGGACTCAATTACAATTAGAGTTTGCGCCAATCTCACTATAGTGGTGAGTTTAATTATTATGGTGGTGAAATTAAAATTTATAATGAAATATTTATTTAGATGTAAATACTGTAATTATGGTAAGATGAATTGTAATAAGATAAAAAAAATTATTAAAAATATTAAATTAAAATTTATATATAATAAAAATTTTAAATTATTTGACATTTATAAAATTAATAAATGATTAAAAATTATTTTTATGTCAAATAATATTATTTTTAAAATTGATAATAATATATTTATATCAATTAAAATTTAATAAAATAATATTAAACAAGTAAAATATAAAACATTAATTAATTTAAAAACAAATGCAAAATAAAAAAAAAATAATGGTATTATACCAAACAGTCCAGTTCAGTGGCTCACTGGACCATTTTTTACCGGTGTAGAATTATTGTTCCAATGCAGTGGAAGAGCTCAATCACACTGTACTGATAAACATCCAAACGAAATGAAATGGTGCAATTGCACAAAAAAAAAGTAAAAATTCTCCTTGCACTGATGCTGCAAGTGAATCCAAATAAAGCCTAATTTTGGTTCAATGGCCAACCGAGCTTTCATTTGTGTTTTTTTTTTCTTTTTTATCCTTTAGTTTTTATTTTAAATACAAAATCACCCCTATAATTTAATTCTTTTCTTTTCTTTTAATTTTTATTTAAAATTTTTTAAATAATTTTAGATTAATAATAAAGAATATTATTTGATATATTATTATTGTTATTAATTTTTAATTATTTATTAATTTTATCAATACTAAATAATTTAAAACTTTTATTATATATAACATTTATCTATTTACTTAAGTGGAGGATATTACGCCTTGAACCTAGGTCATCTCACAATGTTGAAGCTCCTCATGCCATCTCAGTTAAGTTCCATTGGCTGTGATCCATCATCTTAATATCTCAACATGATAAAAATTTATAATTGAAAGAGTTTATAATTGAAATTATAAGAAAAAAAATTTAAAAATTAAGATTTTATAATAGTACAATTAAGGGTTTATAATGGTATAGTAGGTAGCATAAAACCCTTAATTTATAGAAACTTACGATATCACCTGAAACCAATCCCTATCATCGTTTTGTCTATGGTTTTGGGTACGATTCATCCTCCGACGATTTCAAATTGTTTTCCGGGTTGGATACACGCGTACAGGGTTTACCAATGAAAGCTGAAATTTTTTCATTGAGAAAAAATTCATAGAGAATCGTTGAAAACCCTCCTTGCGTTCATACTAGAGCTTATGACCGTGATGGAGTTTTAAGGTCCTTCTCTTTTGTCTATGGAGCTTTACATTGGATATTATGGTCGAATCCTATGACAAACAGGAGCCTATTTCTTGATATCCTTGCTTTTGATTTACAGACAGAAAAATTCAATCGTCCAGTGCCTACACCGCCTGCTTATATGTCTACTTTAGTGGCTATGACTATAGGTCTTTCACTACATTCCAAGACATCGGAAGTAACTGTTATTGGGTCTTTAAGGCCTTGTGCATTTCAGAAGCAATGTTTTATATATGAATCAACCTTGCAATAAACTAATGAAGTATGAAGATGAATTAAAAATTATCAAAGGATTTCGCTTTTGCAAATTTCAACAACGGTATGAAGCTATTTCTTATATGGAGTGTTTCTATATATATGGAGTGTTTCCACATTATAATCAAACCATGATAATATAAAATAAACAACTCAAATCTCAAATCTTTAGAATGTGATCGGATTTTATTATAGTTTAGTGTCAAACAAGTCTTATAAAATTAAAAAAAAAAAAGGGTTAAATATAAAAATAGTCTTTAAACAATATATTTTCTATTAGTTTGATAATTAAATAAATAAAATTATCATATTGGTATCTGAACTTTTATTGCGTTTTCACATTGGTACCTCAGACTAATGCAATTAATCAACTTTGTCGATGTGGTATGAACATCCAATAAATGCTACATGTGTCAAAAAAATATAATCAATGTCACATCATCAATACCATGTCATCATTAAAATTTTAAAAAAAAAATTTAAAAGTTATAAAAAATTTATAAAAATTCTAAAGTTTCTAAGAACTTTTTAAAAAAACTTTAAAATAATTTTAAAATATTCTAATATTTTTTAAAAAAATTTCAAAAAATCTTAAAATATCCAAAATTTTCCGAAGAAATTTTTAAAAAAATTCAAAAAAATGAAGATTTTATTAAAAATAAATTTTTTAAAAATTCAAAAAAAATCACAAAAATTTTAAAATACTTTAAATAAACAAATCTTAAATTTTTTGAAAAAATATAAAAAATTGTAAATTTTTTTTAAATGTGAAATTTTTTCATTTTCGAATCTTAAATTTAGTTTTTATATATTTTTTGAATTTTCAAAAAAAATTTTGAAATTTTTTGGATTTTTTAAAAGTATTTAAGTATTTTTATTTTTTTTAAGATTTTTTTTAATTTTTTAGAAGGTTTTAGATTTTTTAAATTATTAAATTTTTCAAAAAATTTTAATAATTTTTAGAATTTTTTAAAAGGTTTTTATTTTTTTTAATTTTTTATATTTTTTAAATTTTCAAAATTTTTAAAAAAGTTTTAGATTTTTTTTTAATTTTCATGTTTCTAAGTCTTTGTATTTTTTTATGGAAATTTAATTTTTATGAAAATTTGAAGTTTTTTGAATTTTTTGGATTTTTTATTAAAGTTTTCAAATTTGTTTGAATTTATAAAATTATCTTAATTTTTCTAATTTTAAAATATTTTATATTTTTTCATTTTTCATAATTTAAAAAAATTAATTTTTTTTAAATTTAAAATTTTTTCATAATTTTTAAATTTTTTTGAAAACTTGTTAGAATTTCTTTAAATTTTTCATTATTTCTTAAGAATTTTTTTATAAATATTTTGAAAAAAATTTTGGAATTTTTAGAATTTAAAAAAAAAATTTAGAATTTTTTAGTTATTTTTAGAAATTTTTTTGAATGTTTAAGTTTTTTAAAACGTTAAAACTTTTTTAGAACTTTTTAAGAATTTTTTTATAAAAAAATTAGAATTTTAGAATTTTTTAAAAATTTTTAAAATTTTTTGAACTTTTCTATTTATGTTGATATGTCATTGATAGTGTGATGTGTATACGTATCAATATCTTATTAGATATTCATGTCATATCTGTAAAGTTGATTATTGATATTAATCTCAGATATCAACATTATAACAGAATGAAAGTCAAAGTATTAAACTAATAATTTTATTTTTTAGATATCAAACTATAAAAATTATTAGTTTAGAGATAATTTTTATACTTAACCAAGAAAAAAAAAAAAACTCAAATCTTTAGAATCCGACCGGAGTTGGTCTTAGCCCATATGAGCTTTGTTCGAATTGGTTGAGATTATGTCAATTTTAATACATTTTCCTTCCATTATATCCTTAGCTCCGAAGTAGTTTCTTTTTAGCCACCTACAAAGTGCATGCCACCAAATAGTAATGCTATTTGCCCAAAGGAATAAACCTTCTCCATTTGATATCTTTAGCAGCCAACCATGAACTTTTAACTTCATTTTGGTACCGCTCCCAAATTTCTTCGAGTTGTGAAGCTGATAACAGATCGACTCTTCCATAATTCTAAGTACCATTGCCAAAAAAAACTTCTGATGGTGATTCCCCAAAATTGTCTTCTTTTGTAAAGCTAGCACCATCTAATTCTTAATTAGTTTAATTGTTCAAGTAATATTAAAGGTGTGTTCGATAATCTATATTTCTATATTATATATAAAAAAGATGAATTTCAAAAGTGTAAATAGTGAATGATATATATATATATATATATATCCTTGATAATTTATTTTAATAATTTTTTCATAAATTATTCATCCCTTTATTATAATCTACATAATTAATAAATACATATTTTATTATTTATTCATTTATTTATAAAACAAATAATATTTTTATTAATAATATATATATGATAGATAACTATATAAATTAATTAAATTAAACTTGAGTTCAATGCATATACAATTAGGAAAAAAATGCTGATTACATCAACAACCTCAATTTAATTGAAGAACCCTAAGTTTTAATCATACTAAAATTAATTCTCTTTAAAGAAGTTGAAAACTAATAGTTCCTGACCTCAAATAATTCTTATTTTCTTTACTTTTTTTAAGTGATAGAGTCACTATGAAATTCTATTTGCACATATTCTTTTCAAGCCGAAATTAAAAACAAAGAGACTCAAATTAAAAAAAATTAAAATTTTAAATTTGAATTTGAGACTAATTGGCATTGAAATATTAATTCCTTATAAATTCATATAATTCTAGGTTATTAATCAAACTGAAGAAAACATGGCAAAGCCTAATAACCATATTCCTCAAGATATCACAGATCAGATACTTCCATACTTGCCAGTGAAGTCCCTGATTAGATTCAAGTGCGCGTCCAAGTCATGGAGGTCTTTGATCAGTAGCCCTCCTTTCACCAGAAACCACTTCGAAAGAGCATCTTCCCAAGACCCTAAAATCATTGCTCAGAAGATTCTCATCGTATCACTCCCTTGTGGACTCAAGTCCTTAGACTTGGAAAAATCTTTATTTGACGATGAAGATGCAATGATAAGCCTTCGTTTTCCACCAATCGAACCTTGTAATCGTGTTAAAATTCTGGGTTCATGCAATGGTTTGGTGTGCTTAAACCTCGACAATGATGCCAGGCATTTCTTTTTGTGGAACCCTTCGACCGGAACTCCAAGGAGTTACCAGAGTGTAATGTTATTCCAAATAATTCGCATTTTTTTAGTACTTATACTGGTTCTGGTTTTGGTTATGATTCATCCTCTAATGATTACAAGCTGGTGCTTGAGATTGATAGAAGACTTGTGATTTTTTCACTGGCGAAAAGTTCATGGAGCATGAGACAAGATAGATGGTGGCCTCGTTCAGCAATTGGAAAAGGGGTGTATAGCAATGGAGCTCTCCATTGGCATATTTTTAATGGAATCATTTCGTTTGATCTAAAGACGTATATATTTGGTTATGTCCGAAAGCCCGATGCTAAGCTGTTCCGCCATAAATGGAGGTTATTTGAAGCTGAAAAAATATTTTGTGGAAGTTGCATGGACAAGTTCAAGAACTCCTTGGATTTTGAGTTATGGATGATGAAGAAAGATGGCGTGGAGGGATATTGGACTAAGGTCCTTACCTTTCAACATTTTTATGACTTCTATTGTTTCTTCATTAACTTCTTGAACAAGAATTATTCAGATGGCAAGGATGATTTTGTGACAGAAAATAGTAAAGATATAATCAGGTGTGAGGGTGAAGGAGGAATAGTAAAAAAAATAAGGATTCACAGTTGTCCAAAACAGTATGAATCCAAGAGCCCCAAGAATTCTCCATACTTCTGTGATGCAATTGCATACGAGGAGACTCTAGTTTGGCCGAATGATCTGTCTAATAATTTCTCATAAGGTAAAGGTGGAAGAATACATTATGACTTGTAAGGTATATTTTCTCAATCTTTTTCCCTTTTGAACAAAATTCACTTTTACTTCTCTATTTCATGTGCAGCCTGCAGGTTGCAATGTTTGCTTATTTTTAGCATTTAGCATGCAATTGCTGCGTCATTATACATCCAGATAAAAGTTTTAAACTTGTTCGGTTGAAGTTAGATCTAGCGATTCGTGTATTCTTATTTGTTTATTTTGTGTTAACATTTAGATTGAATCACTTAGCCAATCAATATTCCTAGGAGGATGATATATGGTATCTAGTTTCTTAAATGTTGTTCACTAAACTTTCAAGTGATATTGATGAGTGAACAACGATTGATTACTCAGCATATAAATTCTTTTTCCTTATTAATATTAGAGAATGATGGTGGTTTAAAACAGGTCTCATCCTTTAAACTGTTGCGCCTGAAGCAATAATCACAACAATATAGAAGTAATAGACAACAATCAATAATCAAATACGCAGGAAAAATAAAGCTCACCAAGATTTACATGAAAAACCCTTCAGTGTAGAGGGAAAAAACCACAGGCCGCCAGAAAAAATCTTCACTATCAAATAATAGTTATACAAAGTTCTTCTCTAGCTAAAACTAGAGCTAATCAACAACTAGAGAAACAATTGGAGAAATCTCACCAAATAAGTGACTCAACAAATACACCCTAGATTTGTTCCTAGAGAGCTTCAAACCCGATCTTCACCGTTCAGAATGTAGAACTCTGAATCATAAACCTCCTGACAAGGTTTCAACTCAATTGGACCACGGATCGACTTCCGTTCAACCAACTCTCCCTTCTCATTTTTCTCTCTCTGCTTTTCCTGGCTTTTCTTCTTTCTCTGCTTGGTTTTCGACACACACATAAAACAACCCCACCTCTTTTTTATTAAGTAGCTAGGGCTCTGTGTAAAATAAAAGATCAAGGCCCATGGCCTTTACTTGGTCCAAAACCACTTACATGGGACTGGACCCCATTTTCCTAACAATCTCCCCCTCCAGCCCCATTAGGAGGAGATTCATCACCATAGCAGTTTCATTTGGAATTTACCTTGGCCAGGGAACTCATGCCGGTCAAGTTACTACAAAGCTCAAGCTTTTCCTTGGGAAGTATCTTAGTCAACATATCTGCTACATTCTTATCAGTATGGACTTTCTTCAATAACATCTGCTGTTCTTCAATCACTGAACGTAACCAATGATATCTAACATCAATGTGCTTTGTTCTAGCATGGTACATGGTATTCTTACTCAAATCTAAAGCACTCTGGCTATCACAAAATACCACATACTCTTTCTGATTCAACCCCAATTCAAGAAGAAAACGTTTCATCCAAAGCATTTCTTTACATGCTTCAGTTGCTGCAATATACTCAGCTTCTGTAGTTGACAAAGTAACACACTTCTGCAACTTAGACTGCCAAGATACAGCTTCTCCTGCAAAAGTGAACAAATATCCTGAAGTAGATTTCCTACCATCAAGATCGCCTGCCATGTCAACATCAGTAAACCCTTCTAGAACTGTTGTGAAACTCCATAAGTCAAGCACATTTTTGAGGTACCCCTTAAATATCTAAAAATCTATTTCACTGCTTCCCAGTGAACCTTCCCTGGATTAGAAAGAAATCTGCTCACTACACCAACTGCATGAGTAATGTCAGGCCTTGTACAAACCATAAGATACATTAAAGAACCGACTGCAGAAGAATAAGGAATATTAGACATAGCTAGTTGCTCTTCCTTAGACACTGGACATGATTTCTTACTTAGATGAAAATGGTTGGCAAGTGAACTGCTAACTGATTTAGCATGTTGTATGTTGAATCTACCAAGCACTCGTTCAACATACTTTTCCTGTGACAACCACAGCTTTTCAGCTCTCCTATCCCGGATAATGTCCATACCAAGAATCTGCTTTGCTGGACCTAAATCTTTCATATCAAAGGACTTAGACAATTGTTCTTTCAACCTGCAAACCATACTAGCATCTTGTCCTACAATCAACATATCATCAACATATAATAATAGGATAATGAAGTTACCATTAGGAAATTGTTTAACATACACACAAGAATCCGCTGCTATTCTTTTATAGCTATGACTCACCATAAAAGAATCAAACTTCTTGTACCACTGTCGCGGAGCTTGTTTCAAGCCATACAAGCTTTTCTTCAATTTGCAAACTAAGTGCTCTTTCCCTTTCACTTCAAAACCCTCAGGCTTATTCATATAAATGTTCTCCTGTAAATCACCATGCAAAAATGCAGTTTTAACATCAAGTTGCTCAAGTTCAAGATTCAAACTAGCTGTCAATCCCAGTACCACTCGAATAGAACTCATTTTTACAACTGGAGCAAAAATCTCATCAAAATTGATGCCTGGTTTCTGAGAAAAACCTTTTACTACCAATCAAGCTTTGTACCTCACTAGTTTGTCACCATCTTTTTTTAACTTGAACACCCATTTATTCTTTAATGGCCTCTTCCCTGTTGAAAGTTTAACAAGATCATAAGTACCATTCTTTCGCAATGACTCCATCTCTTCTTTCATTACTTTTAACCAATGCTCTCTATCCGAAGTAGCCTGCACATCTTGGAAGCTTTCTGGCTCCCTTTCACTGGTAACTAAAATAAAATCTAAACTTGGATACCTGGTAGATGGCTTGCGCTCTCTAGTAGATCTCCTAGGCTGAGACTCTACATCACTTGATGCTGAAGGTAGCTCCCCCTGATCAACACTCTCAGGTAGAGAGGATCGCTCCCCCTGCTCAAAACTAATAGCATCTGGCTCATCACCAACTGTGGTTGGCTCATTCATATCCCCAAGTTTTGTTTCTGGCTCATTTTCACCATCTGTGGCTCTTTCCTATGAAATCTCTGTCGGTGTTGAAACATCACACTCAACAGTAACTTGTGTAGTCTTCTCATTTTTTTCAAGGTCTGTTATGGTTTCTTTTTCATGAAAGACCACATCTCTACTTCTGACTGTCTTTCTCTTTACTGGATCCCATACCCTGTAGCCAAATTCCTTATCACCATATCCTATAAACACACACTGTGTAGCTTTACTGTCAAGCTTTGACCTCTGCTCTTTTGGCACATGCATGAATGTTTTACACCCAAAAACTTTCAAGTGAGAGTATGAAGTATCTTTCCCTGTCCACACTCTTTCCGGAATGTCAAAGCCCAAAGGAACTGATGGTGACCTGTTAAGTAAATAACAAGCTGTGTTGACTGCTTCACCCCAGAATGGCTTTGGTAATTTTGCCATCCTCAACATACATCTGACTTTTTCCATAATGGTGCGATTCATTCTTTCAGCTATACCATTATGTTGTGGTGTTTCAGGTTCTGTCCTCTCATGCTGATCCCATGTTTTGAGCAATACTCTTCAAAGCCTTTAGATGTGTATTCTCCATCATTATCAGTTCGAATACACTTCAAGGGTAATCCTGTCATCCTTTCAACCATGGCATGAAATTTTTGAAAATATTGCAGTGCCTGACTTTTGTATTTCAACATATACACCCAAGTCTTACGTGAAACATCATTAATAAAAGTAACAAAATATCTGCTACCACCTAATGACTCAACCTCAATGGGACCACATACGTCAGAATAAATTAATTTCAATATATTTTCTTTTCTCTGAGAACTTTTACGAAAAGAAACTCTATGATGCTTACCAAACAAACAATAATCACATGAATCGAGAGACATACCTTTGGTCAAGGAAATGAGAGAGTGCCTTGCCAAAACCTGTAACCCTTTTTCACTCATGTGTGCCAGCCTCCTATGCCACAAGTTTGCTGAAGCATCATTTTCAACGATATTTACCTGGTTACCGTTCAATTGCATCCATGTCTTATACATTGTGCAGCATAGTTTTCCCCTTGCAACTACCATAGATCCTTTGAGAAGCTTTCACTGTCCATTCTTTTGTCGACTTTCATATCCCTCCTTATCAAGGACATTAATAGCAAGCAAGTTTATTCTCATATCTGGAATGTGTCTGACATCCCTCAAAGTCAACATGCAGCCTGTACTAATTTGTACAACAATATCACCAATTCCAACAATCTGCGACACACTCTTGTTTCCCATCTTGGTATAACCAAAGTCTCCTGCTTTATAAATTGTAAACAACTCTCTCTTAGGAGCACAATGATATGCCGCTCCTGTGTCAACTATCCACTCAATATCGGGATCACTAACATGATTACAATCACCATGTGTACAAATCAAAGTAAATGAATCACTATCTGAATTCACTGCTGCAACATTGCCATCATCTGAACTCTTGTATTTCTCATCTTTTCGCTCTTGCTTTAAGATTCTACAGTTTCGTTTTATATGACCCGCCTTACCACAATGGAAACACTTCACTTTACCTCTAGATTTGGATCTATGTTTAGACTTACCACGACTTTTTGAGTCCTGACCTCTGTCGATGTTTCTACTCCTATTCTCTGTGACTAGAGCTTGATTCCCAGGGTCTACATCTTTTTGCCTCGCTTCTTCATTAAGCATACTGTCATTTACCATCTCCAATGTCACCTTATAATCAGGAGCTGAATTAAGAACAGTCACAATTAGAGTATTTCAGCTGTCTGGCAATTAACCCAAAAGAAATAATGCCTTCATTTCATCATCCATCTTAAGCTCCATAGTAGTCATCCGATTAAATATATCTTGAAAATCACTCAAGTGCTCTGTAACAGATCGTCCATCCCTGTACTGTAAAGTTGCAATCTTTTTAACAAGCATAACTTTATTCATACCTGTTTTTCTCTTATACAATGCTGCCAATTTTTTCCAAACAATGTGAGCATCTGATTCCTGCGCTACATGATGAAACACGCTGATATCAACCCATTTTTTTATTGTAGCTAGCGTCTTTCTACCTAGCTTCTTTCAGCTTTCATCTTTTATATCTGCTGGTTTAGTCGAATCACCCAATACTGGCTCATACAAATCTTTGCAGTATAGATGATCCTCCATCATAGGCTTCCAAATTGAATAATTCGATGCTGTCAATTTTATCATGGAACCTGTATCACCCTCTATGATCTCAAACAGAATTTACTTCTATCCTGGGTTGCTTCTGTATCGATGTCTCAAAATAACTCTCGCTCTGATACCACTTGTTGCACCTGAAGCAATAATCACAACAATACAGAAGCAATAGACAACAATCAATAATCAAATACGCAGGAAAAATAAAGCACACCAAAATTTACGTGGAAAACCCTCCAGTGTAGAGGAAAAAAATCACGGGCCGTCAGAAAAAATCTTCAATATCAAATAATAGTTATACAAAGTTCTTCTCTAGCTAAAACTAGAGCTAATCAACAACTAGAGAAACAATTGGAGAAATCTCACCAAATAAGTGACTCAACAAATACACCCTAGATTTGTTCCTAGAGAGCTTCAAACCCGATCTTCACCGTTCAGAATGTAGAACTCTGAATCATAAACCTCCTGACAAGGTTTCAACTCAATCGGACCACGGATCGACTTCCGTTCAACCAACTCTCCCTTCTCCTTTTTCTCTCTCTGATTTTCCTGGCTTTTCTTCTTTCTCTGCTTGGTTTTCGACACACACATAAAACAATCCCACCTCTTTTTTATTAAGTAGCTAGGGCTCTATGTAAAATAAAAGATCAAGGCCCATGGCCTTTACTTGGTCCAAAACCACTTACATGGGACTGACCCCATTTTCCTAACATAAACCTGTTGCCTTGTAGCTTTTATATGAACTAGTGCATTTTGAGGAATAACTAGAACTATGAATTTGATTGATCTAAGAACAGCTTATCACAAGCAGCTTCAATTGAAAAAAAAAAAAAAACTGAGAAAATGGACCAAAGAAGCTTACATTCTGATTTATTGGAAGATGAAAGTAAAACCTCTTTTACTCCTTACTATGTGCAGCCTGCTGCAGGTTGCATTGTTTGCTTATTTTTTGCTTCATTTTCGCAGTTCTTATTTTATTTCTAAACTTAGAGGAGCAATTATATGGTATCAAGCTATTGCATTCGTGGAGAGTCTATTTTTACCAAATTTCTATTATAACCATTCTTCAAATGAACAGCAAAAGGGCGACAGAGTTCTGAAGAGGAAGCATATGTGTTACTCTGCCTTTCTTCAAAATTGCTTGTCTAAGAATAGGACACTCCACATCCCTTGATTCAATCAACTAGCTAGATTTTTTGGAGGACAGCATATAAGCATATAATTTCCTAGCATGGTATTAGATTGCTTGCTTTTAGTACGGTGATATTTTCTCTTTTGCTTCCTATAGTTTTTTTTTTTTTTCCTTTTCTTATTTGATGTGGCAGCTGGACTTTCAGCTTTCATCAGTTTTGTGAAACTCTGATTTTTTTTTTTTTTAAAGGTTGGTAGTAAATGCCTAGATGGATTGGTTTTTTACTGTAAAATGCATGCTGTATAGAAAAGTTATCTTTTCTCAATTTTTTTTTCTCTATTGCTTTGTTGTTGCATTGCCTTATCTAGCTAAGATTGTAGCTAGTGTGGATATCTGTTAATTCTTATACTCCATGTTTGTTTCATGTCAATTGAAATATAAAAATTATTGTATTATAATTTATACTAACACATCAAATGCAAAATATATATTTTTTATTTTTATCAACGTCATAAATTTTTTAATCAAAAACTTAAATCGTATCGCATTTTTTTTATCATTTTTTAGTTATCTTTAACATTATCATCAAATTTTTTATGTTACTTATAATTATTATTGTTATTGTTATTATTATTTAATAAAAATAAATTCCTGTTCAAGTTCAATTTAGTGCCAGATGGCAAATCCATGTAAGATCTGGTATAAAACTGAGCTTCCCACTTTCTCTAGAAAGGATGGAGCAACAGCAGACTATATATAGTTTATTGACAAACTGTTTGGCTCTCTCTCATTACAATCTGATATTCAAGGTTTTCTTATTATAGATATGAATTCTCACCAAACAAAATTCTCAAACTCGAGTTGTTCCGTCATCCCTAAATTACCAAAAGAAAGCAACAAAATCTGCATTTATTAAAGCTGCATCTCATTTCATAACCAAATGAGCTCATCAATCCTTTGATTTCATTTCTTCTCATTCATCCCAAGTGTGTTCTTCACACTTTCCACAGCACCCTGAGCCATGCCCTTCATTTGCTCTCCAGTCTGCAACAGTACGAATTCCTATTTCATTAGTTTCCTAACCAAAGCTCAAAATAACGTAAACTTTATCAATTGTCTGTTTAATGTACCCTCAAAATGAGGTATTATTATTATTGAAAAGCAGAAGAATTGATGAAAGGGAATGACAGGTAAAGAAGAAACCTGCTGAAGGAAACCAGCAGTCTGCTGCTGTCCTTGCTGAGCAGACTCTTGAGCTGATTGAGTAGCATTTGTTGCCTGGTCTCTAGCTGCATTTGCAGTATCCTTAGTGGACTGTATCATTTGTTCTGTTCTACCCTGAACAAAACCATGAACGTTTTCTTAATATTTCGAATAATTCGCAAAAATATGTTTTAATTACTCTAGCATCAGGCTATCAAATAAGGTCTTTATTGTTATTTCTTTTGAAGGGTTACAAATGAAAATCAAATTTTTCATAGACACTTGGAGATTTTCCTTACCTGGGTTTGGCCTTGAGTTTGGCCTGCATTGAAAGATTGCTGTAGGTTGGACATGTTGTCTGATACTTTGAACAGTAAATTACAACCTTGAGAAACTTGAGTGGAAAAAAATATATAAAAATTTGCCTCTGGAAGCTAATACTGGGGTTATTTGAGGTTTTTATAGCAATTATGGAGCAGCAGAAGAATGACATGTGGACCATGAAATTTGTGTTTATAACTGCAGAGCTTGAATTCTGCTTGGGGAATAGACTTAACTGAATCAGCAGATAAAATTCATCAATCTGAGAAAGGTGCGCTTCACCACACATTAATTGGTTTCCCCAGCCGGCCTCCATGCTAGAAAATAGCATTTCCTTTTACTTTTTCTTGAGTCCTCCTTTTAATGGTATTCCATATGCATCCAATTAGTACATCCTGTATCTTAAACAGATTCATACCGACTTTTTTTTTTTAATTTTTTGGCTGAATTCTGACTATTTTCAACCATGACAAGTTAATGAAATGAAGGGTAAAAATTGATCCTGCAAAATTTTATGCTATGTATAATAGTATAAGGTGCAATCAAGTGTATTATTAGCAGGTCTGCTTGTTTTCTACTTCAGTTTTAGAAGGCTTAGAGGCTCAAGTTTGATTAAAATGAATTAATATTGATCTAAAACTTGATCTTGGCTCATTTAGCAAGCAAGCTTCAGGCAATTGAAGCAACCAGCCTAATTTTGAGCAACTTGATTTTTTTCTTCTGCACTAGCTATGCGCCATAGTAGTTCATCATGCATCAGTGCTTTGGTCAACATTCATATAACTCCCATTTAAGCATGAAATAAATATTCTTTGATTAAAAAAAAAAAAAAAAACAACTTGAGTCTATGAATGAAATCATTCATTTGCAGTAAATGATTACACGAATGGTTGCCACTTAGACCGGCAAAGTTTAGTGCATGAACATAGAAGACTGAACTGATATATGGAAACTTGTCCCTTCCCGTGAGCATTTTTCCCAAATTGCATTGCAGCCATTACTTCTATGTAGCTCAACATTTGAACCACAGATACAATGAAAAAGGAAAAAAGAAAAAAAGGCATCCTCTGGAGCATTTAATTCATGTGATTTTATCACATTACTGTCCAAAACATTGAAAAAGGAAAAATTACAAAAGGTCAATAATGTGAAACTTTTGTTGTGTCTGAAAATTATTATTATTACGTCTTTGAAGTCAAGAAAGATGGCCACCTGCTACAAAGTTTAGACTTTTCTAGAGCTCTGGCCTGCTACAGAAAGATCAGGATTAGAAAAGGTCACATCTGACTGATAAATTTTCTCAGATGAATAAGAGTAAACCACATAATAATTAGCTAGACGAATTCAGGAGGAAGCAGAAACGTGAAAAATGGGAAACTGGGAGTTCAATTGCAAGCAAAACATCATCGACAGCACCGTTTTATTTGTTGTTTAACCATATAACATAACTATAGGATAAAATTGAGGATTGGCTTTGAGATGGTTGATCTGGATATGTCATGCTCTTGTAAAATTTGAGAAACAAATGAGCTACAATGAAACCAATATGATGTTGAGATGCTAGTTTATCAAAATCCTATAATTTTGACCATTCATGTAACCACCTTTAAGAGACGACATCTAACAAGTTTAGAGTTCAAATGCCAATACTTGCATCCTCTTCGTCTATTTTTAGACTATGACTTTTTTGTAAAAAAAAAAAAAAACCCTTATAATTCTAGTTTAGCAACTAAAAGAATTAGGAATCAAAATATGTTACAGAAGAATTTGAAAGACAATACGTGTTGGTTTTATTCAGCACGGATGCCCCATAAAATTTTACAGATAGAAGAGAGCAGATTTCCCGTCTGAAAAATCAATCAAGGCAAGAGACAAGGCCAAAGGAAGGGAAACAGGTCTCTTGTCATCACAGGAAGTGAAACTCTCAGAAAGATTTGAGTATCTGATCTTGAAGTGGACACAGAAATTTGTTTGAAACAATGATTTTCCAGCACCTTTACACCTGTTCGCTGTCGCAGTTCTTAAGAGATCCTTGGCTTATGTACAGCTTCAATGCATGCTTCATCCGCGTATTCTGACCTCAAACTTCATTTTCAAGATTATCTAACCAAATTTCACCTTTTTTTTTTGGTAATTTTGCAATGAATTCTGATTAAGATCAACAAAAATTGTTTCCACCTGAAGAATTTAGCAGTTCAAACATCTGAGGATAAAATGGGTTCCAAGAATTCGATTTTCACTTCAACTTCATTTACAAGAGAAAGAGAGACGGCAACGGCAAGAATCACGTAACCTGTTGATAAGGTACTGAATTATTAGTTCCAGTAACCAAGATTCAGATTTTGAAAACCTCAAATACTTTAAAAAAAAAAAAAAAAGAAAGAGAGAAAGGGCAAACATATAGTCCAATATATTATGTATTATGTTATAAAAATGAAAGAGTTTCAAGTATTGGTACAAAGTACATCGAATTCCATCTTATACAACATATATTTTGATAGACACAGCATGGAGAAAAAGAGCTATAGCACAGCAGAAGCCTTGAGACACTGTTATTGATGAAACTCTGTATTAAGTCGCGTTGCTTGTATTCAAATGATTCCCTTGCTAGTGCGTAAGGGCAAAGGCGGCCTCCTGAATGAAAGGCTGGGTGACATGCACAAATTGCTCAGCCTCCCTCTCCACCTCCTCCCAACACCGATGAGCACCTTTTCCCACACTCATCTTCTTTACGAATGCTACAAACTGTCTCCAGTTGTCCGGTTGAAAGAGGGACGGATTCATCCTCAAGTATGTAAATGCACACATCTCCCTATCAACCGAAGAGCCATCAATATTCAACGATGATGCTTGTAAGATCTGCTCATGGGCGTATTCATCATAACGGGGCAGTGCATTCTCTCCAGCAAGTGGAACTTGTGCTGCTCCAGTAGCTAAAGCAACTTGCTTGACTAGCTTCTCCGGTGCACATAGGGCATCCTGTGGCTGCTCATGATCACGCATTTCTATGCAAGTGAAGTTGAAAACAGCACCATGACGTGCTAGCATTTGAGCAATAGGTAAGTAACCATCACGGTACCTTGTGTTATAGTACCCTGCCGTGAGTTCAGGAGCATGGGATCGGGTTCCATAGTGCCAGTGGATTCCAGCAACTTTTACAGAGATCTTCACACCTGCACCTTCAAAAATTGATGTCGCGGACGATAGAATTCTCTCACCATGATCTAATAGCATCCGAGAATACCAAGAAAGGAAGAATTCACCATAGGTACTATTCCAACCACCACCTTCTTTTTTGAAAAATGGTGCATCTTCTGGCCAGTTGTTGTAGTGACCAGCATCAGTTGGGCCTGTGCTACCCCATTCTGGCTTACCAGCCGCTTCAGCTGCTCCTTTTAGGCTGCTAAGCATATACTGCATTATACAACACCCATATTAGTCCACAACAAGAAGAGAGTTGCAACATGCGAGCAAAAACAGAAATGGAGATGTCAATGTCATGCCAAGTACCTTATCATAACATTGGAAGGCTCCAATTCCAGGGAATTTCCATGTCCCATTCTCCTCTGGGTATGAAGGATACCGAAGCTCACCTGCCGGACCCATTCCCACTTGGATTTCCTGTAGTGAAAAACATTGGTAACTGTTTAGCAGCTGATTTCTTTCATGACATAGAAAGAGAAACTCAAATTTTCAAAAAAAAAAAAAACAAAAAGCCAAAATAGGATCAGTAATCAGTAAATTACCACAATGGTATCAGCAAGGAGATGTTTGAAGTTGTCCCTAAAGGCTCGCATGAAATCAGAATAACATTGAACCGGAGTACGGCCTTTCAAGACAGGAATGGTATCACAACCAAGTGAAAGATATTCATAATTCCTTCTTCCCCATTGATCAGTGTATGCAAGGTCCGGGTCCTTGTTAATCTCTTCCCTAACCCAAGTGGGCAATGGAATACTGTACACAAAACAACAATTTTGGTTAAAAAAAATCAAGAATTGGCATGGGGTTATGATCATTTTCATACAGCCCCTCATATCTCTGCCTAGTCAGATCCACCAAGAAAGATGGAGATGCACGAAACCATCATACCCTCCATGGAAATGGGCCCTTTACACTTTTGTCTCCTTCAACTCAAATAGTAAACAAACTTTTTTCTTATCCCAACGTTTGATTTAAATTCAACAATCAACCAAACGTGTACACTTTATACTTGATTTTCTAAAATTCATCCAATTCCCCCCCCCCCCCAAAAAAAAAGTCATTTAAATTTAAATATTAGTATTATTTCCTGAAAAAAAAAAATGAAGGATTTAAATTTTAAAAAAGAAATGAAAGGTTAGATAAAGAAGAATATACGCACCTGCAAGAGTCACCGACGTTGCCGCCACACTGATGAAACGACATGACGGCCTGGACTTTGAGGCCATGTTGCTTGGCCATCTCGAGAAGCTCGGTGTAGCCACCCCAATTGTAAGCACCCGGCGCCTCCCTCTCCACCAGCCCCCACCAAACGTCAATCATTATCCCCTCCACCCCCGCGCTTTTCAAAGCGTGGAGACTCGCATTCATCGCCTTCTTCCTATTCACCGAGTTCCCATTCGTCACGCTGTCCAACGGCATCATCACGTACACCGGAACCCCTTTCTTCTCCTCCTTCGTCCCTCCCTCCTTCCAATTCACCACCGCCGCTTCCTTCTCCTCCGTCGTCTCCAGCGGTGCTAAAGTCTCGTAGGCCTGGCAAACGGCGGAGAGGTCAGGACGCAGCATCGGATTCACCAAAGACGACCTGTTTGCGGCGCTTCGCGGTGACAGCGGTGGAGTTAACATCGGAGGGGATAAAGCTTCTCGTGGGGTGCTGCATCGGATATTCGCCACCGGTGCTTTCCAAACTCCCGACGCATTCGCCGTCGCCGAAGATGATTGTTCTCCGGTGGTGCCTTCGATCGGAATTTGTGTTGCGGCAAGAGTTCCAATCTGGTGTGCCAAATTCAAAGCCATTTTTTAAAATTATCCGAGTATGTAACTGAATGAGAAGGAAAAAGAAGATGAATGTTCCTAAAGAAACCTTTTTTTTTCTTTTTTTTTTTCTTTTTTGGTTTCGAGTTTTGGGTGGAGATGTTTCAGACGTCCAATGTGAGCTGAAGGAAAAACGAAAGACGAGATTGAGTATTTATAGAAATGCGATTAAGATATACTTTTTGAAAATGTTAGATTCTCGACACGTGGCTATTCGCTACGTGGCGAAAGGAAAGGCAATCGAGGAGGCTACGGCTACGGTTACTCGACTCACGTGAGAATGGACGGTCGGATTGAATGATAGTATGAACGCGCTTTCATGGATTAAAAAAAAATTTTGAATGAGGTAGAGCCACGTGGCTTGTAAGAACAATTCACGTGTCCGATCCCTTCGGCTTAAGACATGATTCAGAGTATTTCCGTTTTTTGCCATCTTGGCTCTACCTTAACGTCCACGAAAGGGGAAGAGAAGCAAGGTCAGAGAGACACGTGGATGGCTTCGAGGGTAAGTAGGACTGGCAGATCCTTCCACCTCCTGTTTGTTTAAGACACGTATGGTCCGAATATTGGTTGATTAAGCGTATATCAACGGTAGAAAATGAACTTGAGATCTAGTCTGGTTCATTGATTGAAAATCGACGGCTATGTTTCATTTTTTGCTCATGCGTGGACCAGCCTTGAAAATTGGGACCCCTAGGAGGTTCCTTGAAAGATTTGTAAGGGGTAGGGGACCATAACTAGAAACGACAGTATAAGAATCTTACTTCAAAAAAAGAGACTTTCTCTTTTGAAAAATATTAGACATTCGATTGGTTAGGAAAAGTAACATTTTTTTTGTCAGAATTTTATTTTTTATAATTTAAATTTTTACTTTTAGTCACATTCTTCAAATTTTTTAAAACTTTTAATAATATTAAAAAAATTAAGGACAATTTAAAACTCTCATTTCCTCAAAACTTTTTTAGATTTAAAAACAAAAAAAAAACTCATTTACTCTTATTTAATTATATTTTTCAATCAAATTATCATTTTTAATCTGTTCAAATTATAAAATAAATATATTTTTTGTTATTTATAATTTTAATAAATTCTACATTTTAAAATAAAAGACATAATAGTTATTAAAATTATATTTTTAAAATTTTAAAATTTTAATTAATGTTGCGTTTTCAAGATAAAAAAAAATAATTGATGTTAAAATTTTATTTTCAAAATTGTGAATTTTTAACAAAAATTATGTTTTTAATATAAAATATATAATGGATGTTAAAATTATATATTATAAATTTTAAAATTTTAACAAAAATCATATTTTTAAGATAAAAATATAGTAGATATTAAAATTATATTTTGAAATTTTAAAATTTTAACAAAAATCATATTTTTAAAATAAAAACATAATAGATATTGAAACTTTATTTTTAAAATTTTAAAATTTAATAAAAATCACACTTTTGAAAGAAAAATATAATCTTTATTGGTACTCATAATAAAATTAAAATAAAACGTAAAATATTTTTATTTAATATTATTACATATATAATTTAAAATATATTTATTTAATATTATTACATTTATAATTTGTTTTAAGTCTTAAAACCCCTAAAAAAGGAGTTTATCATCCCCCAACTTCCAAGTTGATTTTGCCGTGAAAGTCAATCTGCATATTTTCTTTATACATGGACAATCAATGTAAGGATAATAATTAAGATTATAAAATTATATTTATTGAAAATATTAAAAAAATAATTTTTAAAATTATTTAATTTTAACGAAAACAAAATATAATGTATTATGAATGTTACGTATTATTCATGTGTTATCAATAATAATATAATAAAATATTTTATTAGATAATTTTTAATTTTTAAAATTAAATACAAAAATTTTACTTTCTCTAATTTAAGAAAATCTAAAAATTACAAAGTTCTCTTCAATATCATTTTCTCTTAAAATTACTTTATCTATGAAATTTTAAAAATCCCCGAACCACACCTTAAAATTTAGTACTCTGTTTTAAATTTGTTAGAAAATCTTGATAAGATTTTTTTTTTAATTTATAAGTTGGTTTCTTATAATTTTAAACATGTTTCATTTTCTTTATGTAATTACCTAAGGATTATCAATTTATTTATGTATTGTCAGTTGAATTTTTAAATTTTATGAATAAAATTAAATTTTTATATATTTATTTATTATTTTATTATATTTTAATAAGTTAAGTGGTAACTCTCAAATTTTTTAGTATAATTTAAAATTTTAATGATGATGTATTGAATATTTTATATAATATAATAGTAACTAAACTCTTGGTTTGTTAATGCCAAAGGAGAAAAAGAAAAGGATTTTATGGATTTTAACAAAAAAAGCTAGAATTAAGCAAAAACTCAAGATTAACTCAAAGCAACAATATAAAAAACGATAGAAATCTTCAAAAGCTAATGTTGCAGTTAGGGTAATAAAAATTTAGATAGGATGAAATTTGATTTGATTTTTTTCGAATGATGCATAATTTATAAATTTTAAAAATCTAATTTAAATTGAAATAAACTCTTCATATGATTCGATCTAATTCGAATTAAAATTTATCGATTTGATTTATTGGTTTTTAATTTAAATTTAAATTTAAATTTTTTATTATTTTAATAAGAATTTTTAATATATTTAAATTAATTTAAATATAAAATAATTATTTTTATTTTATAAAAATTTTAAAAATATAAAAATTAATAAAAATACATAATTTAGTTTAGTTCAATTATTTTTTTTATTTATCAATCCGAAATTCAAATCAAACTTAATATATATTTAATATTCAAACTTAAACCAAATCGAATAAAAAAATCAAATCAAATTAAATAAAACATTATAATTTCTAAATCATTTTTTTTTATCTATAATTGCAGTGCACACAATATTGATATTGGGATGATATGTAAGAGGGGCTAGCATGAAAATTCTTTTCAAAATGATCTTTTTCATGAAGTTATAAATAAAATAATAAAAGTTTTGAAGAAATTTCTTTCTTTTTTATTTTTTTTTTTGGAAAAATAAAAAATTTTCCTAGACAAAGAGTGTCCCCATATCAAGTTGGTGACATAGATTGTTAAAATTTGCCAAACCCTCAAATTTTATATGTTTTGAATTGGGTAGACAATCTTGATATGGTGTTTTTCTTTGTTTTAAGTTGGCTTTTGATGTTGTTGCCATCCATTTTCTTTATGTAATAAATTATTAGTTGGTAAATAGGGAAAAGGCTAAGCCAAAATTTCTCTATTTTATCTTATATCAATATGACTAAAATGGAAATATAGGCTTTTTCTCTTCAAAAAAGAAAAAGAAAAAAAATAAAATGTTAAAATATCTAAGTTCTTTTAAAATAGAATATATGTATTTTAAATTAAACATTTGAATCAAAATATTCAAAACTTTAAATATATATTTTAAAATTTTAAATATATATTTTGAATTTAAATTAAAATAAAAATATTTTTATTAAATTTTATATCTCAAACTCGAACTTAAAAATTTTTATCGAAAATTCAACTCGAATAAAATCAAATTCGTGAATTAAATGAATAGTCCAACCTTCTATAAATATATCTAAAAGGAGGCAAAATTATTGATATAAAAGTGATGAAACAAATGACAATCAAATTATTACAAAACCCTTACAAAGAAAATTATTTTACACCATATTATATCTTGCACCAAAGCAAATAAAAGCCAGACTCTTTTCATTGTGCATATACTTCAATGGAGTTTATGCATGAAGGATACTTTAAAATTATTATATTAATAATAATTATTATTATTAAATAAATATTAACATTGATTTTTTTGTAATGATTCTTGATTTTTTGAACTTTGAAGTGAAAAACAAAAATTTTTCATGCAAAATTTGGATGAGACTGAAAATATATCATTGTTGGGAATGATGCAAGAAAAAAAAAAAAACAAGAATATTCACAAAATCCATCATCTTTGCATAATACTCTATAATATTCCTTAAAGGACCACTTCTCAAGGAATCACTACTTTGCATAAAAATTAGAGGTTAAAAAGAAAAAAAAAAAAAAAACCTTTTGAAATCCCACTCTTAAATGAGATGAATTAATTATTTGAGTTAAATTTTAAATTTGAAAAAAATAATATTTGCCACTTTATTTCTTTTTAATATAACATCTAAATATGTCCTAAAAATAGATATATGCCATCAATTTTTTTATTATATGTAAATAAATTTATAATATTATTTTGTTGTAAATGAAATTATAAAATTATAAAATTAAGTAATTAAGTTTAATTTCGTTAAATAAGATTAACAGTAATTTGTATTATATAATCTTACATGAAAAATAACAAGTAAAATAATATTTTTGTGAAATAATGACATGCCATTTGAATTACAAAAAATCTTAATATCCAAATATGTCATCAATCTTTTATATAGAATTGATATAAATTCTCAAATTTTTATTAAATTTTATTTATTTTTTATAAGTATATGCTACTTATTAGTGTTAATCATCTTAAAAAAGATTAATATCCAACGTAGAATTAGGTAAAAGTTGAGAATTTAAGATTAAATTTAATTTATCGAAAAGATTAAAAAAAAAAAGTAGCATCTTTTTTTGGCCCTTTTTTGTTCACTTTGGACCACTTATATGAAATTTTTTGGGCTCAACTCAATGCCTAAAACGGGCCGTTTTGAGCAGCAGCCCAAATCAAGCCCAGAGGCGGAGCCTCGGAGCCTTATTTTTATTTTATTTTTGTTCCATTTCTTAAGTTTCCTTGTATCTACTTCTAGGTTTTCCTTAGAAACAAACAGAAAAATCTAGACACGCGAAAAAATAAAACAAAAAATTTAAACTAATTATAATTAAAACGTATTCATTAACAAACAAATTCAAAACCTAACTCCTTTGCCCACTATTTTTGAATCAAAGGGAAGAATCTTTCTTTGCCAAAGTTTTTTTTTTCTTTTTATTTTTAAAATTTGTTTATTACATTCCGAGAAATTTTGAAGTTTGAAAATCTTCGAAATTAAACGATGAGAGATTCTTCATTATGGGCCGAAGATTTGAACATGCCATCAACTTCCAGCTCGCGAAGGCCCAGGTAAAGATTTCATGCCAATCAATTTTG